AAAGAGTGTAGAGAGAACAGTACACTGAATATTCAAGATAGGAAAGATATTTTGGAGCAGCTTCCAGGGAGATATTTCCAAGCTATTTCCAAGATTAATAACTCTTTTACAGTTATGACTTTAAACTTATGACATAAAAAATAAAATCTAATTACACAGTGCCTTAATTAGCACAAGTTTGAGCTGGATAGTTATGAATATTAGAGATAAGAATGGTGTCAGTTTATAACATACATTCCGGTGCTCTAGGTGAATAAAAGGACTGGTTAATTACTTTTCTGTCTTGGCTGAACTGAACAGGTAAAAGAAGAAATCTCAGTGATAAGACTGAGCCCAAGAATGTACTTCAGTTGACATAAATGTAGTGAAGACACTTATTTTATGCTAGTTGCATTAGTAAGATACTGTAAAAAAAGCAATGACCGTTCACTAGCATGAGTGATGATGTTTGAGTGTTCACATAAGCTGAGTCTCCCAGAAGTATGTGTGTTTACCGGATTCTCAGAAAAAAAATAAAGTTGTAATTTTGTAAAGGCATTACACAACTGTACTGAACAAATCCCAGCTGTGCTTCTGATACTTTCTGATTTTGGTCGTGATCAGAAGGCCAAGGTGAAAGCTAGGGCTCTGTTGTACTCTCTGGCTTCTGCACTTCTTGGTTCTATTCAAAAGCAATTAAACATAAAAATAAGGAGTTTTATTTACAAAAAAAACCCCACCAACCAACCAAAACACAACCAAACAAAAACCCCCACAAACAAACCCCCCCCCGAACAATCAAAACATAACAAAACCAACCAACCAACCAAACCCCCAAAAAACCTTCAAACCAACTACTGCCTTGTTCAGGGTGAGAAGCACTGAGTCTTAAATTATTTCCTGCTCATGAGTTGAAGTGTATTCACTAATAGTTGAGAGAAAGAGGAAACAGTCCTAGTATGTATGCACTGGTTTAGCTCATTAGTTTGTGGGAAGGGCAGAGGTGAAGAAGTAACGCACAGCCTGTTCTTTTCTGACTGATGTTTCACTATGAAAACAGCTGCATTACTGTGTGCTTAAATACAAACTCCCAAAATTACTACAGTGAGTCAGAAGGTGAAAAGAAAATAATGAAGGTGGGTATGAAGTCAACGACTGTCTTATTGTTCAAAAATCTCAACTGTGCTTTAAACCATCCTAATTTGAATACTTCTGGAAACTTATTCTGAAACTTGTGCCATCATACATTAATGAAGAATAGTATTAAATCTATTTATACTTTAGTTCAGAGAACTCTAATGATGTATAATATTTGAATTAAGGTATGCACTTACCTTAGAGAGGGAGGGACTGGAGTTACAACCTGTCAGAATAAAGCTGTGTTGTAACAACAGATCTTTTATAGAAACTGAAAATGTGATTTTAATGAAAATATTAAGATCTGTTAGAAATGAAGCATTATAGAAGCAGAAAGTCCTTTTTGTAAATATTTTGCCTTTTCTGTAAGTTATTTCTTCTAAATGTAATGCAAATTTATTTCCAGATTTCCATTCACCCCCAGAAGAAAACGAAGATCCTTACAATCTTGATGATGCTCCAGATAATCTGGATTATGTTGTCAAGATAAAAGGTGGCATTCCGTTTGTTTATGACAACAAAGAAATGATGGAACTCAATGAGCCTCGGAGTCTGCCATATCCTGACCTGGAGACCTATACCCTTGACCTGAGCCACGTTCTTGCTCTAATTGCAGATGGTCCAACGTATGTTTCTCTTTCTTCTCTGCTCCTTTAGGCCGCTGGTTACTTTTAGTTTAATACTACTCGCTTTTGTGATATTTAATTCCTCAATGTACTCATTCTACAGTAATGTCTTGTTTTACCCTTCTCAAGCATGAATGCATCACAGAAAGACTTAAGAGGGGGGAACCTGCATATGGCTATATTTCATTTCTTTAGTTTTTTGCATCAACCATGGCAAAATGAGAAGCAGTTAATAGAAGAGCAAGAAAATGGCGAAGTGTTCCCATTCAAGTCAAATCTGACCCAAACTTCTTGAGGCATGGGAACTGAAACTTGAACCTCACCTTTTTTGGTTTATTTTGGTCTACACTGAATTTGAGGTTTTCGAACAGTTGTCTGGAATTCCATCATGTCTCTTCTGCTCTTGCTGCGTGAAGAGAAACTCTGCATATGTAGAGTATACAGAACAGAACAGGCCAGCAACATAAATAAGTCTGATTTGTTCTAGATGTGAATTAACTACTAGTGTACTGCAAAACCGATCCATGCATATGCAGTCAAACTAGATCTAAAATTTCCCAGAACAACCAAACTCCTAGAAAATCTCTAAAAACCAGAAATGTAACAACTCTAGTACAGTAACTGACACAGTCATGGCAGAGCAATGTTCTTGCCTAGTGCATAATGAAAACATGTGCATCCAGTTTTTAAGTTTACTTCCCAGCTGAGGACTGGAAATGTCAAGGTTTCTCATCACCTCAACACCAGGAAAGGAAAAGATTCCACCTAGAATGGAACAAAAGTGGAACCTGCGCTGTTCTTCTGAACTATTTACCCTGCCTACCAGCACTGCATTCATAGTCCTTCTGCCTTTGAGAGATCATCACTTATGACAAGTTAGTCACACCTGATGCATTCCTTCCCCTTTGAATCTGTGTCTGGCACCTGCAGCATAATCTGTCTGCCGTGTGCACTGACAGTGGCAAAGCAGATGTGCTGAACAGAACTGTCCCATTCCCGAAGCACTTTTTCAGGAGCAAACGCCTGTGCTTCCGCCAGCATTATCAGCATTCCT